TATAGCAATTTAAAAGCAATAAATATAATATTTTTAAGACTTTTGAATATAGTGAATAAAATAATAATTTATTTCTCCGATTAGCTCACATAAGTAGTTAGGTAAGCTCACTTCAAACACAGTTTGTAAATCAAAAAAAAAATTATAAACGGATTTCAAATTTGATTCAGCTATAGAGTTAAAAGAAAACTGAAGAGTGACAAGCGCAGCTAAATTTAGCACAGAAATACATTAATCTTGATCAATGAGCATTACGAATACAGCGCAAATTCTATAATTTATAGCTATAATTAGAGGCAAAATAACACGAAAGCCGCAAAAATAAACAGATATTTCTGAAGTATTCTTCGCGCATATTAAATGTGATGAATATCCAAGTACGTAACGCCCACCCACAGAGTAGTCTAGTAATAGCTAAATTTAAGTCAATTTCGTATAGATCATATATATATAATATAGATAGAAAATGTTTCGCTGTGGCCAATTTGCAGGTGGTTGAGCGAAAGAGTTGGCTGTGGCTGCTGTTGCCAGGAAGATGAGAGAAGACCAAAGGCATTCCTTGCCTTCAGGTGTGCTGAGAGAGAGGTGTGCAACGCGTTGGCGTTGGCGTTGCCGTTGGCTTTGCTTTTTGGCCAACGCCGACGCCTTGACCTTGTTACGGTAAACACAAACAACATGATATATACATACACATATACACCTACATATATATAATGTCTAAAAATACACGCAAATCGCACAGCACTGAACATTTTCGACACATTCTTTCGAGTGCTTGGAAAAATTATCAAAAGTCGAAAAATTGTGCTATTCATTCAATGATTTGATTTCTTTGTTCTGCCACAACATGAGTCATTGAGGCTGGGGGGTGGGGGCGGCTGCTGGGACTGAGGTCGTTTGCTTGCCAAGGCAATTAGCTGGATTTAGTCAGTGCTTAAGAGACAAATGGAAACCCAATCAACATTGTGTCTTCTCACTCAATCGAATCACGTATATTTAGAATTTCGTTTTCGTATTTTCTGTACAATTTTATTGGCACAGCGCCGCGAGCCCAGTGTCTATGCAAGGTGTCGCTTTTAATAGACACACCTGTGTGCGTGTGTGTGTGTGTGGCATAGTTGATTGCTGTCGCAAATTGAGATACTTACAACAACAAGGCGACACGTGCATGGCCACATTGTTGCATCTATTAGTCAGTGGGTCGCCGTGCCGCCATATCGATGTGGGTTAGCATTTAACCCAAGTCTGACATCATTCCGACACCGTGCACATCCTGCACACCAGCCAGAAAGTGTGTCAGGTCGGGTCAAGCGTTGACCACTTGCTCAACTGCTGCAACTGCAAACTGTTGCAACGCTCTGGGGAGGCCAACACTAGACACCAGGCACCTGGCCTGGCCTGGCCTAGCCCGGCCCCATCAATCCAAACGAGTTTTATGGTAGGGCCAACCCCGTGCCAACATCACTGAGATTGCACTGCAAAGCTAACGAACAGGTCCTTTGGACTATCCTGAGCATTGGAGCCTGGACTGAGCATTTTTATGGTCGCGGCTACTAAGCGACTCTAAAACTAGAAAGTAATTTCCTGACATTCCCTTGAGTGGCCTATAACACTCGTAGTGCTGGGTAGTGCTGCTAGATAGAGCATTCATATTAGAGTAGAGGCAGTTTATAATGAAAATCGGAAGAGAAAGGAAGTACGAGTGAGAGAGAGATAGAGGGAAAGAAAGTGAGAATGAAAGAGAGAAGGAGATATCAGCTCAGTTTTGAGTTTGAGGAAACATCTGGTATTTCGAGTCGAATACGAATCAGCACCCAATGGATCTACAATTAACAAGCTATTGCTTGATACATATATATTTATATACAATATATGTATATATGTATATAAAGCTTATACATAAAATTCTCGTATATATCTACAAATTATATACAAATTTATTCATTTATGATTTCTTACAATACTCCAACTATATTCCGCATTTATATTTTAAAAGCTTTTTAAATTGAACTATAAATTAGCTCGCACTTGACATATACAAGCGAGCTAATTTACCATATAATCATCAACCAGATAGCTGTTCCACTTTTCAAAACAATTTGAATGAATCTTATACATATGTGAATATATATGTACAAGTATTAAATTTATATGTATATAT